GAACCCGTCACCTCTTGTCCTATCACTACAGTCCCTAATGAAGAGTCCATCCCCAGCATCCCTATAGGCCCCCTTCAGATACTGAAAGGCTGCTATGAGGTCTCCACTTAGCCTTCTCTTCTGTCATGGTCATGATAACAGTCTATTATTGCCCCTGCCTGTGGCTCTGTCTCAAGTCTGTTCTCCACCAAAACACAGGGCAGTTGTGGGACACAAATAGTAATTATCATCTTTTTTCCTCTGAGGAAATGAGACAATTTCAGTGATTTCACAAGTAAATTACTTTTCCTCTGGAAAACCTGCTGGAAATTGTGCAGAGATCTCCAGTGATGCCAGTGTTCATGGATTAGTGGGCGTGTGCAGGAATGGAAGTCAGATGTAGAATGATAGCAGTTATCAAATGAGTTTGTAACTTATCTCCACAAGCTTTGGTGTGAAGAGATTGAGCAGAAAGAATAGATTATGATTAATCATATTGCGCAAAATGAGGAGGCTTGCACTGCAGTCTGAGCTATTCTCAAACGTGCACGTCAGGCTATTGAGTTCCTAAAGATTGGTTTCCAAAAATATCCCAACTTTAACAATCCAAGAGATCCCCGGCTGACTTTGAACACGAATTTCAATGTCTCCTAAACTTGTAACACCATCAGCTCTTTACTCCCGTTCCCTTTGTCTTAATGCTAAGGACTAATGGTGATTCATTTTAAATGGGTTCATTCTAAAAAATATTTCATATATTTTCATGTGTATTTCATACATAAGTGAAAAATAAAGACTGGGAAATGGGAATTGGTGTAAGGAGAATAAAAACGAAGACTGATGCAAGGCAACAAGGAAGTAGGTGAGGAAAAGACCCAAGAGGTGACATGTGGAAGATCAAATGACAGGAACAGAACAAACCTCAAAGAAAGCGTTTCTTAATGTGGCTCTGAATGCTCCTCTTCATTTCGTGTGCTCTCTGGTAGGAAGATGATTAGCACAGCTGAATGTATCACTGCCAGAGGAAGTAAGAGAGTATCATTCCAAGGCATATAATCCATGTTATGATACAATACATATAAATACAATACAATATATACGTGTTATGATACAATATATAAAAATATGATACAATAGATACATGCTATGATACAATATATATAAATATGATCCCATATATATGTATTACGGTGCAATATATATAAATATGATACGTTCCAAGCAGAGACACCTCCTACCAGAGCAGGTTGCTCCAAGCCCCTGTGTCCAACCTGGCCTCGAACACTGCTAGGGATGGGGCAGCCACAGCTTCTCTGGGCACCCTGTGCCAGCACCTCAGCACCCTCACAGGGAAGAACTTCTTATCTCCAACCTGAACTTCCCCTGTTTCAGTTTGAACCCTTGAAAACAGCCTCCTTCTGACACCAGGAGCTCAGTGCACCACACAGTGTTTGTACGCAGGAGTCAAAAAGGGACAGAGGAAGGATTAGCTGAGGGCAGGCAGCCACGGCTTCACGAACACACGCGGGGGAGCTCCCGGCGTTACCCCTGCCCGCAGCTCCACCGCCAGCCGCCTGGGGTCGCTGCGCAGGCGCCGGCACGCGGCCGCTCTGGGACTGCGGCCTCGTTGGTGCTGACGGCGGCGGCGCGAGCGGGAGCAGCGGCCTGAGCGGTGGCGAAGAGAGCGGCGGCCTCGGTTGCAGCGGCGGTCGCGCCCGTTCCCCGCCGCACCATGCCCACCGTGGAGGAGCTATACCGCAACTATGGCATCCTGGCGGACGCCACCGAGACCGTGAGCCAGGTGCGGCGGGCCTGCGGCCTACAAGGCCTCGCTAGGCCCGGGGCTTGAGTAGTGCGGCGGCGGCGCCGGCACGAACGGCTCCAGGCTGTGCGGGCGGGACGGGGTCCTGCTGGGCGGGATGCTCGGGCCGCAGACAGCCGGCCAGCCCCGCGGCTGTGATCCGTATAGGTTCCCTCACGGGCGGGGGCGGGAGGCGATGAGCTTGGCGCTGGCGGCTCTGCAGGGACGGCGGCAGCGTCTTTAGTCGCTTTTGCGGCATCTTCTTCCTCCCGTCCTGTCGGCAGTTCTCCTTTTAAACGTGGGCCCAAGGGCGCTAGCTAGTTATTAGCTAGAATCAGGCTGCGTTTTGCATGGGAGCGGGGAGTTTCGCCTTAAAACACCGGTAGTTGTCCATGTTCGATCTGTGTACTTGCAGTTCCGGAGCGCTCTCCTGCTGAAAGGCTTGTTGGAGGAACGTGAAGGCTGTTACGGTTTGGTAACTGCCTGTAGCCCTTTTGTATTTTCCTAAGGCAAGCATGGAAGGTTGATCCTCACGGATAAAGGAGGTTTTTAGACGAAAAATCCTGGAGAGATGTGCCAGTTCTCATAGCGTTACTGAATTAATCAAATAAATGATGCCTTCGTGTGTTACCAATACAAAGTATTATGGTTACTTGAAGCTAGTTTTTGGATTGCATTATGTGCTCATTTTACTGAGTGGCTGCCTGAAAAAGTTGATTGTTTTGTAATTATTCTTTTGTCATAATATATGGTGTCCCTGCCCATGGCAGGGGGGGTGGAACTTGATGATCTTAAGGTCCTTTCCAACCCAAACCATTCTATGTAAGTAGGAAGGTAGCTTTGCACATACCTGGCAATGGGGTTTAAATTGGATACTACTATGCAAGGTCATTTAGAAAGTTCTTCAGGAGAACACATAGTATAGTAAGTGACTGGGTGTTGTGCTGTTGGGTTTTTTTTAAGCTTTTAGATTCAAGTCCATTCGCTTTGCATGTGTAATTCTGCGCTAATGAAACAAAGCAGAATCCTTGCAGACAGTTCATAAAAAAACGTTATCTCAGAGACAACCAAAATATACACAGAAAATGTTGGAAACTACGGGGAGAGATGCAGAATAAAAGAGATGCTATTACTGTGCTGCTTTATGAATACGTAGTCCACCATGATTTTGACAGTTGTGGGTAGCTTTTACAAGGCAGGGATGGATATCCCAGGGAGAATAAACTGAAACTGCAGTGTAGTTAAGAAATGCAGCTTGTGCAGATGCGTGAGAACCTCCAAGGGTAAGTATAGAATGATGATTGCTGATATACTCCCCCAGCGTTGCCTTTCCAGCTTGTGGGCTTATGGAGCCAGAGCTAGTGTCTTTGTAATTACAAGATCTTGCAAGATTCTTCTTCAGCAAACTTTTCTGATTCCTTTTTTTAACTGATATTTCTGGCATACAAATGTTCTGTGGCAAAATATTCCATTAGCCTTTGTGAAGAAACTACCCCCTTTGAACTTGTCACTTCATAACCTTAGTTGATGTCTCCAAGTTTTGCACTGAGAAGCCATGAGCAATTGTTCCTTATTCATCAGTTTTATCCCACTTATTCCTTTATTATCTCTTAAATTCATGAACATGATCTCTCACTACAAAAAAAAGTCAGTCACCCTGTCTCAAAAATGAAATCTTTTGAACACAACAAGAAGAGCAAGGGGACAAACAGAAGTATGACATTAAGAGAAGTCATTCAAAAGACTGGAAATGGTGAGCTTGTAAAAGTGTGTTTCAGTTGAGAAAGGGGCTCAGGTGCGATGAGTCTACTCAGGAGCGAAATGAAGGTGAGAACTTGGAAAAAAACTATTAGTAAGCAGGCTTTTAATAAAGAGGAAGTCAAACTTTTCTCCATAACACATTGTGCAACTTGTCACAGGATGTTACAGAATCGATTCGAGAAGTAGTCTAGAGAAATTAATGGTCACTTGATAGTTATTGATACTGTCTCTGGCTTAGGATGTTCCTGTATAACAGACTGGGAGGAAGCATGGAATACTGAAGGATTACACTGCTTCTGCAGTTGCCTGTTCTTTTCTTGAGCATTCCAAGCTCCTGCCTGAGCAGCACTTTGGCTAAATGATAGGAGTAGTAAGCATGAAGGAACCCAAGCTACCCTGTTCCATTGCTACATGACTGCTATTGTAATATGTATTAAGTAATTTGTTCCCCAGAAAAGTTATTCTTAACGTGCAGTCTGAGAACCTGTGACTGTAATAATGTGTATCCCGTTGTTAGTTTGTGCTGCTTCGTTCTGCCTTTGCTGTTGAGTGCACTGTGTTGGCACAGCTGCAGAACAAACTGGTGGGAATGTGGATCAGCTGAAAAGCAGTCATTTTATTCCTTGCTTATTTTTTTCCAGATCCATGTCCCAATCCAGTTCAGGATTTGACACCACGGACACCTATTAACAAGGTGTAGGGAGTGTTGAAGGGGCATTGGTACTGAGTGTTTAAACACAGCTTCCTTTAAAGAGAATTAATGCCCTGTGCTGCTTTGTAAATTAGGATCTGTTTGCTATGGGTGAACTTTCATATGTTGTAAGAGTGACAGTGTATGTGGCTCTGGGAGATTTAATGTAAATCAAGCGTCCTCTGCTGTTGTTGCTGTTCAAAGTTGTCTAAAACATTTTCATAACCGTAAGGAAAATTAATGATAGAACTAATTTCTGCTATTATCCTAATACTACTGACTTTTCTTTTGCAAGCACATAGCTAACCACAAGAAGGACTTCAATTTATTCTAAAGTTTCAGTCCTGCAGGCACAAAATTGGTATGTCTGTGTGATTCTAGTTGGAGCAGGTAGAGAATATTCTGTTCTGTTCCTGAATCAGCTGGAGATTTACCCTTTTTTTTTATAGTCTCTGTTCAAGACATCTTTTAAAAGCCGTGTTTTATCTCAGGTTAACTGCTTGAATAGATGTCAAAGATGCTTTAGCCCTACGTATGTTAAAAGTTATGTGATCTGTTTCATTGGCATGGTTTTGACGAGAAGTGGCCCCTCCTTGAGAGATGGTAAATAGGCAGAAGGTAGAAACCCCTTGAAAAACTGCCCAAGTTTAGTGAAGGTGATCATGTAATTCCTTGAGTCTGCGCTAATGTAGTAGCAAGATCTGTTAGCCTTAGGGCTGGCAGTTTGAATGTAGGCATTTGATAGGCACTTGAACAAAGGAACTAGAGTAACAGTGAAAACCAGACAACAGAGGTAAATTTTAGTAAATGGCACAGTTATAGTGGTCTAAGAGATAAATGTATTTCTTTGTATGAAGCTTGTGTAATATAGCTGACTTACATAGCTGAATAGTGAATGGGAGAGAAAAAAAATCCTTGTCTTGAGAATAAGCCAAGATTTCTCTAATTGTGTTCTGTTTCTCCCCTTCCAGCATAAGGATGCGTACCAGGTGATCTTGGATGGCGTGAAGGGAGGTGCCAAGGAGAAGAGACTCGCAGCCCAGTTTATTCCTAAGTTCTTCAAGCATTTTCCTGAGCTAGCTGACTCGGCTATCAATGCTCAGTTGGACCTCTGTGAGGATGAAGATGTTTCTGTAAGAATAAGAACCTTGTAGCAAGTTGATACCTTGAATTTGTATTTTTATTAGTCTTTTGGGAAGGGGAGACTTGATCTTTCCAAAGCTTAAGAATACGTAGTTGTATTCCTGTTATGTGATGGTATGGGAAGATATGTAAGTTTCCATTTGTTCTTTTCACTCCATTATTGATCAGAGGAATAGCTCTGTAGAAAGAAACAGTTTATTTGCATATCTGTTACATTTTTTCTTTTCAAAAAGTGCTTTGTGGTAATTGATCCTAATGAAATTCCGCAGGGAGGCAAGAAAACTTTCTTCACAACCGGGAGCCATGGGGATGTGATTCTGAATGTAGTACTCTTGCAGAAGTCCTGAGATGCTTCATGCTGCTTCTGTGCTGTTGCTAGAAGCTGTACCTTTGAAGTGTCTTTGATTATACTTTGATTATTACTGTAGTGATAGGACAAGGGGTAACGGGTTCAAACTTAAACAGGGGAAGTTAGATTGGTTATAAGGAAGAAGTTCTTTACTGTAAGGGTGGTGAGGCGCTGGAATGGGTTGCCCAGGGAAGCTATGAATGCTCCATCCCTGGTGGTGTTCAAGGCCAGGTTGGACAGAGCCTTGGGTGAGATGGTTTAGTGTGAGGTGTCCCTGCCCATGGCAAGGGGGTTGGAACTGGATGATCTTAAGGTCCTTTCCAACCCTAACTATTCTGTGATTATCAGATGTTAAATGATTTGGACAGGTCATTCAAGGTTTTTTGTCAGCGCCAAACCTAGAGTTCCTCTCTGCCATGTGCACCACTGAGAACTATCCTTCCTTTTAGCAAGTAAGACTCCACACTAACACAGATTCCAGCCCTTTATTTTGTTGGTCAAATGAATGATTTTGTGAATAGAGGTGCTGCTTGAATTTGTTTTTTCTCCAGTGCTGCTTAGATCTGAGAGAAAGACATCATAATAGTTTCATGGCAAATAGGAAGTTTAAACTGCCATTAATGTCTGAAATCTGTATTTCACTTTCTGAATATGATACTCCTGTTAAAAGAATGTGGTTCATTTCTCAAATTTAGCTGATTTTTGTGCTAAACGTGATTAATTGAATTGCCTGAATTATGGCCTATTATTATTTAAATTTATTAATTCCATAATACTGACAATTTTTGCAGATCCGGCGACAAGCAATCAAGGAATTGCCTCAGTTTGCCACTGGAGATAATCTTCCTCGGGTAGCAGACATACTGACCCAGCTCCTGCAGTCAGGTAGGAGATGTTGGTAGTTTCCTGATTGATCTCCTTGCGGCACACCTAAAAACGTATACAGTTTTGTTCTAGAAAATGTTTTCTGTTGATTCATAGTTGGTTACAAAGCAGTTTGTCCCAGTGCCAGTCATGTCCTGTTTTCACCCCAACCCCTTTATATTTGCCATACAGTTAGGCTGCTCCTTCTGCTGAAAGGTCTCTCATTATCCTGATCTAAACTGAAAATCTTTCTTTAAAGTTGACCTTTTTTGGTTTTATTCAAGTTCTCTTAAAGCACCTGTAGAAAAAGGGGAAGGGAGGGGAGAGGGACCCAACAACAAAACCTCTTCCAGTTACGGACTGCAGGAAGTTGCCTTCTGAAAAAGTTATTGGGTTGCTAATCGAAGTACTCAGGAACTTTAAAAATCCTGAAGGCATTTTCTTCCATACCGTCCATTTTTGGTACAAAATAAATTCCAAATTTAATAGTACAGCATGTACCTTTTTTTTAACCTCAGTAAGTTACAGAGTGCTGAATACTAGATCTTGAAATTGATGTTAAAAATGCATGATTAGTTCTGATTGGAAGAGTTGGGGTTCTTTTAGGACTTACTCGAACATTTCTCTAGTTCAGGAGGAAAATTGTTTCTTTCACCTAGAAATACTGAAGATGACTTAAGAATTTAAAAAGAAATATTTAACCTTAATTTACTAAAAGTCAGCTTGTTTATTCATATGTTCCTTAAATTTCCTAAACATATTTAATAATAACTTCCCTTCAAGTTTTCATTCATATCAAGTTTGTGATGTTAAAGTTTTGGCAGGGAGGCCAAAGTGGCAAATAACACCTTTGTTTCGCTTTCAGCTTTCATAATTGTGGCTTTCTACTTCCTCTGTCTAGTAGTCATTAAAATTATCGTTTATGTTGTTTATAATCAAATGTTGAGGATGGAATACTTCTTGTGTGACACCAGGGATCTTTCTTTGGTTGTCTGCTCTAATGTTTGCATTTCAAGGACATCCATATTGTTCTTTTTTCTCTCTTCAGATGATTCTGCAGAATTCAACTTGGTGAACAATGCTTTGCTCAGTATATTTAAGATGGATGCTAAAGGTAAAGGACATATCTTTCTATATATGTATTTTAGTAATAGTTCCCAGTCTCTAATACCATGAGAACAGGACTCGGTTTTGTATCTTCTTAGTACAATTCAGAAGTGAGACACAAAGTCACCACTTGGCTTTTACAAAAGATACTGAATTTTTCAATGATTTTGGATTGGAATTGTACAATTCAAGAAAAAACAATGTGGATTCTTATGTCAGTTATAATTTTTCATCGAAGTTAGTACAGCAGATGTTTCACAGAGTCTTAGAGGAGGAACCTTCTTCTCAGGGAAAGTTCAGCTCTTCTAGAATCATTTGTGTTACCTTATTTATTCTCCATTCAGGGACTTTGGGTGGCTTATTCAGTCAAATTCTTCAGGGAGAGGATATTGTGAGAGAGCGAGCCATCAAGTTCCTCTCTACAAAGCTGAAAACCCTGCCTGAGGAGGTGATGACGAAGGAGGTAGAAGAGTTCATATTGACTGAATCAAAGAAGGTGAGTGTCTTATTTCAGTACAACCATAAGGACTGTTAAACCATGCCTTACCACTGGCATTGCTTTGTTTAAACCACATGTAGGGTTAAGCATTGTACAAATGCTTCTAGTTATCCTATTCTGCTACACTCCAAACTTTGCAGCAGTTTTTGTAGGAACATTAAAATAGGCTCTTCTCATTTTGTAAGAGTGACTTCTGTTAGAACCATAGAATCATTCATATGGGAAAGGGACTTTGGGAGATAGATGACCTCAGTGAATTGTGCTCAGCTGGATTCAGATTGGATTTCTCAGTGCTTTGTCCAGTGGGTTTTGAACACCTCTAATATATACACCTCTGTTATACCTCTTTATCCAATTGAAGCTCCTATTTCAGTTTTGTATCATTGTGTCATTCTCACCCTCTCCACCTCAGTAAAGAACCTGGCTCCTATTCTTGGTGTCTTGCTCAACATTACTGGGAGATGAGTGTTAGGTTGCCTCATCCCCTTATGACTTTTTCCTTTAGGCTGAAAAAGCCCTGTTCCTTAAGTTCTCCTCACAGATTATGTGCTCTAGACACTGATAACCTTGGTGGCTGGGCTTTCTGCAGCTTATCAACTTCCTCATACAGAAAGACTCAACACTAGGTGCAGTATTCCAGATTTGATCTAATAAGGGTATAGCAAAGGAGAATCCTCAGTCCTTTTGCTTCTCTCAGTCTACTGGCCATGCTCTTTTTGTAGCACAGGAGCACTGTTCATCACCCAAGGAATACTACTGACGGGTTTATCCTGCTGTCTCCCAGAGCCCTCAGGGTCTTTGCAGCAGAGCAGTTCCCCAGCCACTCAGTCCCCAGCTTGTGCTGATGCAGGGAAGTTGGCTCATCCCTGGTGCAGGACTCCGCATTGGTGTTTATTGAATTCCATAAGATTCCTGTAAATTCTACATGCTGAGAAAGTTTAAAAAAGTATTAAAGCAATTAATAATGAGTAGATACCTATTTACTGTTTATTCTGCCTGAAGCATACGACTTTGTTAGATAAGAAATTTGTTCTTAAAATTAGAATCCAAGAAAAATAATGTTTTTTATGCACAACTTGATGGTAGTTAACCTTGATTTGGGGGTACATACACTTATACTGCATGTTCTAATGTGTTCCTTTAAACGTTTATATCTTTAAATAACAAGAAGCTGAATTTAAATGCTTAATATTTGCATACTTTACATTTTCAGATCAATTGAGTTTGACTTGGAGGTTTGCAACTTAACAATTATGTTTTCTGGAATTCTCTTAAGGTGCTGGAAGATGTAACGGGTGAGGAATTTGTTCTGTTCATGAAGATATTGTCTGGATTAAAAAGCTTACAGACAGTAAGTGGGAGGCAACAACTAGTGGAGCTGGTGGCTGAACAAGCAGACCTGGAACAAACATTCAATCCATCTGACCCAGACTGTGTGGACAGACTTCTGCAGTGTACCCGGCAGGCAGTGCCACTCTTCTCAGTATGTATTTGTTTGCTTTGCATGAGGAATACTGTGGAAAGTTAATGGCTGTAGTTACTCTTTGGTGTTGTGAATGATTATGTTAGAATGAGAGTGTATCAGTACCTCTCCACCTTCAGCTTCTAATGCATTGAAATGTTGGAAACATCCTTAAAGCCTCTGAATACAAAGAGTTTTTGTGTTATTCTCTGCTCTTGACATTTTCTTTCAAATTTAAGGTGTTACAGTGAATTATGATAAAATTCTCACACTAGGTTCATACATGTATGAGTTTGATTATTTTATATCTAATGCCAGGCAATTGCAGTGTTTAAAGACCTGTTGGGCTGTAGACAGTTTTCAGCCCCTGTTGCAGACAGCCTCTGAGTTTAAGCCACTTGGAAGAGTCTGTGTTGTAGGAGTTGCAGGGAATTCAGTAAAGCTTTAAGGTGTAGCTGTGTGGTAGGCACTTATATATAGGGTTGGTGGAGTGATGGGGGAAAACATTTAACTCCTTCAGACTCAGAGTAACCTGCATAATGTGGTGTTCTCTGCAGAAAAACGTTCATTCCACGAAATTTGTTACTTACTTCTGTGAGCATGTTCTGCCAAACCTCGGTTCTTTGACTACGCCAGTAGAGGGTCTTGATATCCAGTTAGAGGTAAGCCAAAGCTAAAATGTCTTTGAAATCGTAGAAAAATACAGGCACCTTAGATGAAGACAGCTACTTACAAATTGGGAACCCCTTTCTAAGGGGGTTTTCAGTTCTTGGCTAGGAGAGAAAGCAGTTAAACTAGAGAAAAAGTTTGCTGTACTGAGGCATGACTGAGCATTGCCTTTTAAAGCATGTGTCATTAGTCCCCAGCTTTGAGGCAAGACTGGACTAAGTAGATCGGTGTAATCATTTTTATATTGCTGTCAATCTTTTTTAAGCACATAGCAGTTACTGAATTGATTGTTGCATAAACTAGATGTGGCTTATGTTAATTTTGCCTCCTAAGGGAGTGGCTTCGTGTCTGTAATTCTGCTTACATTAATCAGTGCTGCAGCTTCAGTTACATTTCTGAGTCTCACTTTGAAGGTGAGCTGTGCTGCAGACGTGGGACAGGAAGCTTTGTTTACTTGTTGACTAATGATGCCTGTTGGGATTAGACACACAAACCTGTATGTCTGTTTGAGGACATGAAAAACAGACCAGACATGTTCCTCCTTGTTGTCTTGCCTGATGATTGGGTTTCACTGTAATAACTGACCTCTGCTCTGCAGCCTTAATGATGTGAGGTTTACACTTTTAGGTTTAAATTTAAGCCTTTGTACTTTTCTGTTAACGCACAAAAACCCGGCTGTCCTTACATGTAGGTTTTGAAGCTGCTTGCTGAAATGAGCTCATTTTGTGGCGATATGGAAAAGCTTGAATCAAATTTGAAGAAGCTGTTTGATAAATTACTGGTAAGACTCATTCAATTTTTAGTGTTTTAGTGCAAGACACTAAAAAAGTTCTCATCAAAACAAGTTATTTTTATCTAGTAATCTATTAATCCTTTTTCTGAAGTGGCTATTTCAAAGATAGCTCTGTCCATGATAAAGGTCAAACGTCATTTTGCAATTCAAAGCCTTTATAGAGAGCTGTTACCTGCATCATGTTTTTAATCTAGTGAACTCGTGTGGTTTTGTTCTTAGTATTATAATTATGAGAGACTCATGTTGATCTCATTAAAGGCTGTATCTGCACTGACAATTTTAAGCAAATTCAGTGCTGTTTCAGAAGCCCTGGTGTAGTACATTATTGCTTCCTGTGGTAGCAGTGCTACTGTAATGTTTGCTCTTAGAGGTGTCAAGTCACAGAAGTATAGGCAGACTACCTGCACCAGGACTTCATGCAGTGGTTCGTCACATTAGTATAGGGATGAGGGATACTTCTTAAAATGTCAGCATAAATACATCCTCCAGTTCATACACCGCAAAAGATCAGTCAGGGTGTGTAAATGTATCTCATGCATTTGTTTTTCCTTTCTGTTTGTTAGGAGTATATGCCCCTTCCTCCAGAGGAAGCAGAGAATGGGGAAAATGCTGGCAGTGAAGAGCCCAAGTTGCAGTTCAGTTACGTGGAGTGTTTGTTGTACAGCTTCCATCAGCTGGGACGTAAGCTTCCGGACTTCCTCACGGCCAAGCTGAATGCTGAGAAACTGAAAGACTTTAAAATCAGGTAATCATTGAGAGACAAGTGTTAAGGGTTCTGTTGCAAAATATGGATTATTACATGCTAAAGAAGCACAAATCAGGTTGGTGAAAGACTTAGAGTGGTTTTCCTAAAGGGGAGAGAGATTCCAGCTTCCCTTTGCTTATGCTTTTATTTTATGGGAATATGTTATTAACAGATTGCTTTTAAATCTTTTAGGCTACAGTATTTTGCTCGAGGGTTGCAGGTGTATATTCGACAGCTTCGTCTCGCACTTCAAGGCAAAACAGGAGAAGCTTTGAAAACAGAGGAGGTAAGTATTGCTCAGGAATGCTGATTTTTCTAATTGAGCCTACCAGAGTAACCATTGGCACACATTAGTGGGCTGCAGTCTGTTGTAAGCAGGCAAACAGATGAAAGCAATAATACTGCTAACAGCTATTGCAAATGGATCTTAACCAATGCTGAATTTTGCAAGCTAGGGTGATATTTTAGTTTCTACTTGTCAGCTGCTCTCTGCATCCCCATGTGTTTGGCATAACTGTGCTCTGATTCTGTTTTGAAGGGGAAGCCTTCATATGTGGGGAGGGATTTAGTGGCAAGTACACTGGAACATGAGAAGCAACTAGTGTAAAGCTGCAAGAAACCTAAAAATAGTTGTAATGAAAACTCAGAAGTGTATGCACCTTTCACTATTACTGTTGCTGTAGAAATTCACTAGGAAGAGCAGTCAGTTTAATGGTGCAACTTCAAGTGCAGTTAACGTAATTTAAAGCTACTGGAATAGGTGCTCAGTGATGTTTCTTTTTTTACAGAACAAGATAAAAGTGGTTGCCTTGAAAATAACCAACAACATTAATGTTTTAATCAAGGTAAGTCCTCACATCCTGAAGGAGTAAATACACAGTAGAGTAACGTGTACAGAGAAAAGGAATAGATTCGATCAAAGTTGTACTGTGTTAAATTAGTGTTTGCCAGCTCAGGGTTGCTGCTGCTTTACTGTGGTGAGACCCTTTTTTACAGCAGTAGCTGCCCCAGGAGCAGAAGACCTTGTTGTAGGGGTCTTTGGATTCTAGCCGTGCCTTTTTCCTTGCAATTTCCCTTTCCTGCAGTGACAGGGACTGTAAGGAATAGTTTGAAGAAGTGCAGGAGATCTAAAGGAGGGAGGAGGCAAAGCCAGCTGCCACACAGAACCTTTTTCTCTAGGGAGTCTAGGAGAGATGGGTTGCAGGAAGAGACTTCAATCCAGAGCCCTCAAAACCATTCTGATTACTTCTAACCACCTTTTCTTCTCTTCAC